CTTAAAAAATGTACCCCTTTTTGACACCAAACCCCTCATTTTTAATACCCTTATCTAAGATAAAACTGTTGAAACCCCAACCCTTCCCAAGGGGGAATACCCTGGGGAGGCCGCCAATTTATGGCAGAAACCCCCCCCCCCCCAACCCCCTATACACATGATCATTTACATGTGAAAAAGAAGAAAGTTAGCAGCACAACGGGGTCACCAGCCTTGCTTCTATTCAAAGGGTCGGGCATTTAAACTACTGTAGTGACCAATAGGCCATTTGCAGATGACGTCATTTTACTACTACTACCACAAACCCTTAGGGTTTTGCTTTCTTGTGCAAATTAGGGCTTTTGTTATTTCAACCTCACTGGGATTAGCGAATTTAAATAGTAAACAAAAACGAAATGATTCTGGTCTTGGTAGTAAAAAGATGTCATCGTGGGAATGGCCTATTTACGGATTATGGAAAACGAAACAATCGGACTCTCGTGTAAGTAGAAATAAATAAACAACCTCATCGAAAAAGAACCAAGTATCGTCAGGTCGAATCTGAAATACCCTCTCGCCTCAACTCCAAAACGAAGCATCAAGGAAGCCAAAATGAAGCACCTTCTATTCCGGTGAAAACCCCCACAAACACCTAAATCAGTTAATTTCAAGTGTTATTTTCCCGTGCTCCCCTCCTCCACCCGCAAAAAAGAAAAAAAAGGAAAATGAGAGACGAATAGTGATAAAAGAGAGGATGATCGCAGGCTAAACAATTGTCTACCCCGGGGAAGGGGATTTGCTGTCGAAGAGGTCTACATTTTCAGCGCTATACACTGAGAATGTTTGCGGTTTTGTGGTCTTTGCGGTCAGTAATTTCTCATACGGACTATTTTGGAAATTGTTGTCTTGAACTGCGACATTGCGGTATCTCTAAACACGCAAGATGAGATATTTTTGCGTTTTGGACGATTTTCGACATGTTACTGCTGGATTTGCCAATTGTTCTTTGCGGTCATTACGGTGTTTGGTAACCCAACCTACCCTTTATGTGTGTGCTAGAAGACCAGCCTCAATAATAAATTCACGCCCAGTTCTGGCTGTAAAAATGTTTTCGTTTAGTGCTAATGACGAGTCCAAAACAAAAATTTGTTCCGCGTTTGAACCCTTCTATATCGAGTTGGCCTGAGAAAATAACCGAGTGCAGCCTAGTGACATTTCGCGACTCAACCACTGGTTTGCCCACGAAACGCGTCTGGGGAACGAATGCAGAAAATCTATACTGATGACGTATTGCTGACTTAGGTCTGGAAAGCGCTTTTGATTGGTCGCCTTGGGAGGGAAATTTTCTTTAACTAATCAGAAGCGCTAACAAGATGTCGGTAGTGGCATGTCATCAGTATGGACTTTCTGCGGTCGTTCCTCCGAGGACTTTTTGCTGGGAAACCAGTGGTGGCGTCGCAAAATGGCAGCTGGTTTCTCAGGTTGCCCTTAAAGTCAATCAGGAAGGTATGTTATCATAAGCCCCAAAGAAGAAATAGTTCGAACCTTTGAATCTTACTGATGAAATTTAACGTATGATCATTCTCAAAGCTGTTTCAATGGTACTTTCATAGTTCCATTTTTGAAAAGGTTATTTGGCTTTTCTCCAGTTTTACGTTTTGCAGTTTAGAAAGTGAAAAAAGGGTTGATGCGAATATGCTAAAAATGCTAAATAAGTTACTGGATATTGTTTGAGTATGGTTAAAATATCTTTTCGTTTTTTTTTTAATGCTTTTTTACGGCACAGAAAAGTATTGACATATTACAGAAACAAAAAATACAGATTGGTATAATTACACAATACAACAAAGGATGAAACTGGCAGTTACATGAAATAACTGAGGTCAGGAGTTGATGAGCTCCTGCTGAGGTTTAGTTTAGGTTTGACTTCACTTAGCTACTTACATAGTTTTTTTTTCTCAATAAAAAAGGAAAAGAGGAGTGGGTGGATGGTTTAACTTTAGGGTGTCGTATAGCTAACAAAGCGATAAGCTATAGGGTAACAGGTGCAAGCTAACAAATTTAATATATCTTTTACTGCCAAACGCGCTTTATGAAACAACATTTTAAACACAAATTGCAACATGGTATTACCAATGACGACAGCTATAATTACAAATTACACAACAATTTGCTAAATGCCTATCAAGATAAAAAGGCACGCGGAGGGGAAGGGGGCCAGGGGGCCTTGCCCCCCCTCCACTTTTTAGCAAATTAAAAAAGAAATTCTTAAAGTTCTTCACTTAATAAGTTTTGTTGATACTAGACTAAGGATCTTCTTTTACTCCCGTCCACAAAAGGGAATAATAGATAGAGTCAGATAGGTGTAATTATCCTGAATTATTGTAAGTTAAAGATCTGCAAAATTTATTGTCCAAGACGCGGCAGAAGTGCCTTTTT